ATGGAAGAAACAGCTCCAAACTTGAAACCAGAAAACCTAAATTCCTATTCCGTCCCATCTAAATTCTGGCTGTGTAATTTTATTCAAATCACTTAAAATATTTTCACTACATTTTCTAAAGAAGTAGAGTTTATATATACCATCTCTAAAATGTCTTTCAACTGTGAGTCTATGCAATCTCATTTGCCCACTTTCATGGTCATCTTATCAAGGCATCTTAATTTTGTTATGATCTGATTCAATATGTAATAGATATCAACTGTCTTATCAGCAAATTATTTCTTAAGAAACAATGAAGCTTGACTTTTAAGATTATCCCTGTGTTGATTATTTTAATGGGCATTCTGGAGTTATGATAATAATGCCATTGAAAATAAATGCACATACAAATACATTAGCAAGTCTACTTTTGTTTTGATTTAGAGTTAGTTGTAAGTCACATTTTTCTCCTGTCTTTGAATCTGGGTATTGCATTTTTTAATATTATGTCTAACTAAACATAAGGAAAGGTTAATGTGTTACTATTTCTTGAATATCTAATATATCCAGGTTCCCTTTTAACACTCAAAATATATAAATAGCTCCTATGACCTGTGAAATTGTATTTTGCTAATGAGACAAAGCTTATATACCTCCATGATGGAGGCAACACCATGGATAAAGACAAGAAGGTAAAAATATTTCTAAACTTACTGTTTCTCAAAGCTTCTAATGTTTTTGAGAATTATTGAGTTGATCAGATCAGTAACTTCTTATAAATGTTTTATTGCTAGGCATATTTGCAAATATGAATCTATGTAAAATGATTCATGGCATAAAATACTGACTTGTACTGATCACCCTTCACAAAAAGTAAAAAAAAAACAAAGACATCAGCATATTTTTAACATTAATATAAACTGTAAGTCTTTACTTTCTAAGATATAAGATATAAGAAGACAAGTAAACATGATGTTTGTATTTAAAAACATATATGTGTCCTTGTCCATTTATGTCGTTCTTCTGTATAAGTAAAGCCATTCCCCTCTCAAAGAAGGAACATATCATCATCATTACCTAAGAATGGAAATGACTGATTACAAATTTTAGGAGGTGTTCCTAGTCTGTTTTATTGCTTGGTTATTATTCCTTCTAGTTTGATCAATGTGAAGTGTAAATGGTATATAATTTGTTGATCAAACTGTGTGTGTGTGTGTGTGTGTGCATGCGTGTGTAAGTAATGGAAGAATTATTTCCTTTTGACAATAAATTTCAATCTTCTTTTTACCTCAAGGTTGTAAAATAAAACTGACAGTAAAAAAAAAAATGCTAACAAAAATTGCTGGGAAAGCACTAAATGCTGGGTCATCATGTCAACTATATAGTTATGAATGTTGCACTCAAGGATCTTTATAAATTTCAAAAAAAGTAAATCTAAGATGTTTGAGATTGGATTACACTGGTAATGTGTGTGTATTGATACAAAGGATAAAGAGATGGAGGTGCTGTACTCTTGGAAGTGCATGAAATAAGAACCTTCTTTCATGAGATTCTACATGTGGAACTTACTGGGCTGTTTTCAGAATACTTGTGTTTAATACAAAATGCTGCATGTACTCTTTGGTATAAAGCCAAATCTAAGATGAGATTTTATAGCTGAAGAAAAAGAGTAAATAAATAACTGGATTTGAAATGTTGATAGGATTTCCTGTTCTTTGGTTATGCTGTGTGCAGTAAGATGAAACGTTCCTTCTGTGTACTTTTTGCTGTTTGAAAAAAAAAAGAACTGCTTCTTTTGTGCATTTCTTTTCAGTATATCCTAATTCAGCATGGAATTGACTAATTTGCTATCATTTCTGTAGGTTTCTGCCGTTTATTAGCCAGGCTTAATATTTAAGGCAGTCTTAACTGTTCTGTCAGGTAGCAGGAAAATGCTCCCATTAGAATGTGTTACCAGTACTCAGCAGAAGTCAGCGATATCACCCACTTTAAAACAAGGTTGATTAGAAACTCTTCTTTGAAAGGACCCATTTAGAATCCATGACAAGCTGAAGGATCTTTATATAAACATACATTACTTCTTTGTGAGTAGACATTTAGATTATCTGCTTTGAAATGAATTGGTTAATTCAGCTCCAATTATATAGTACATTTATATCACATTTTCTAACAAACTTTTAAAGAAATTTGTGATCTTTAAAGAAATAAAGATCTGAATCTGATCATATTAAATTTCAACATGATGATGAATCTAGATTCTCATAACAATTATCACAAATTAAAATGAGTCTTATGTTTATTTTATTTTTTTAAATTTTTTTAATGTTTTATTTATTTCTAGGAGAGAGAGAGAGAGACAGCGTGAGCAGGGCAAGGTCAGAGAGAGAGGGAGTCACAGACTCTGAAACAGGCTCCAGGCTCTGAGCTGGCAGTCAGCACAGAGTCCGACGCGGGGCTCGAACCCACGAACCGCGAGATCATGACCTAAGCGAAAGTCGGATGCTTAACCGACTAAGCCACCCAGGCGCCCCTTATGAATGATGTTTAAAATCAGCAAGACAAATCTAACATTTATTGCCTAAATAATTTCACAGAAACAATTTCTAGAGTAGATTTCAATCTGATTCAGAAATTAGATGCTAGGCCAAAAGCTAACATCCATAATATTTATTATCCTTGATTATATTAATAAAATATTAATATCCTGAGCTAATAGATATTTATAATATATTTAGGGAGTACTTTATTTATCAATTAAAAAGTTCTTCATTCTTTCTCATGCTCTTAGCATGTACTTAGAATATACTTTAGGAAATAGAAAGCAAGGGTTTGAAGAGGTTGATCAAAGTTAGTACAATCCATGCAAATATAAAAGAGCAGTGACAAGAGAAACCTAGGTTCACACAAAGGCCTGTTAGACACTGTGTCTTCTCTAGTAAAAATTGATAATTGCCTTTCTATAATGAGGCTGCTTAAGGTGAAGAGGGCAAAAGTAACCTGCCACACCTGTCAGAAGTGGACATATTTTCACCCTTGCTTTATCATGTATTGACTCTAATAATGCATGTTTAATATCATGATCTGTCTTTTACTAGAACGTTTTGGGCTTTAGTCACAAATGCATAAAATCAACAGAACTAGCTGATGTAAAAGGTCTGTTTCTATATATACATATGTGTGTATGTATGTATATATATAAACACGTATATGCGTGTTTGTGTCCTTATATGTAGTCTGTGTTTATCTCTCTGTGTGTGCATACATAAAACCCATATATGTTTACATATTGGAAAAAGACATTTTAATGTACGCAATTTTATTGATGTATTTACACACTACAAGGAGTATTATATAGATATGTATGTAGATATGTATGTGTAGTCATTCTTTTATCGTGTTATTGACCCTGAGGTGTATGTCTTTTTTTTTTCCGGGGGAAATGCATTTGGTTCACTCACAAGGGCAAGAAGTACACTGGCCCGATATTTATAATTTCAAAATAAACCATTTAAAAATGTGCTCCTAGCACCAGCAGAATCATAATGAATACAAATAAAGCATGCATAGCCAGATGGAAAAGAATCTCCCAGATTTGCAGTAAAGTCAGGATCCTCATAAAAATACTTTTGTTTCTTACGGTCATAATCCTGAAAGGCAATATCCATGGTGACTTAGAGTAAAGATATTGGAGTCAAGGAGTCAAGAAATCTGGCCCTTATTCCTCTGGCATATTCCTTGCACTGAAACTTAATTTTCATAACTATATGTATGTAACAGTATACATACCACTTAATTATTTTAAGGATTAAGTGAGATTTTGTAATATGGAAAAAATATTAATAGAAAATGTTAAGCACTGTTTGGATTACAGTAATTAAAAATAAAAAAGGGGCAGATCGGTGGTTCAGTCAGTTAGGCACCAGACTTCGCCTCAGTTCATGATCCTGCCATTCATGAGTCCCAGCCCCCCATCAGACTCTTCTGCTGTCAGTACAGACCCCGAGTCCAAACATCTGTCGCCCTCTCTCTGCCCCCAACTCACACTCATAAGCTCTTTCTGTCTTTCAAAAAATTAATATAAAATAAAAATAAATAAAAATTAAAATAAAACCTAACATTTAGTGAAAATCTGCTATTCAGTTAACACAATTTATTTACATTTTATATGGATAATCTCATTTAATACAGTTAATAGCCCTTACAGATAGGTATCATCATTAGAATTTACAGATGATGAATAAGGGGTTTAGAATGAATCCTTTGTTCAGGGTCATATGCTTAACAAATGGCAGTTAGAATTTGAAATCAGTTTACTCCTAGAACTGGTATGTTTAACCAATACCCTGTTAACAGGCAGTCAAGTTAGCCACAATTCTTAACATCATCATTATTGTATTTATGCGAAAAAGACTGTAATTATCCATTAGGATTTATGTTGGTTCTTAAGAAATAGTTCTCAAATTGTCTCTGTTCAAAGATTTCTATGTGTCTAATAGTATTGAATTTATATTGTAAAAGATACTGAAAACCTTATTCAAAATTTAAAAAAAGAAAGGAAGAAATAAAAAGAAAAATGAAAAATAAATTAAGATTACAATAGAAGTTTGATTTCCATACACTGTGTGAATGGCTCTCAGAAAGTTTCCTGATATAATCTTCCTATTGTTCAGAAAAAAATATTCTTCAAACTATGAATTCCTAAAGATATCATTATATGAGATGTCCTAATGTATCAGTCTCTTTGTCCTGCGGAAGATTTTGGGACTTATTATATTGTCTCACCAAAGCTCTGCCTGAAATAATGCTCTGATGTGCTGTTCATCATTTCCATTTGGAAGAAGTCACTACATTCCTGCTTAGCTATCATACTGCTTCCAGTAGAATGTGTTTCAGTAATAAATAAAGTGCATGCTTTAAGTGAAAGTATACATTTTTCAAATATATTAGTCCCTGGCATATATACAGAGAGCATGACAGAATATTCATGTTGTTGTTTAATGACAATGCTCACTTGTTTCTAGGAGCAATTTTTGATGAATCTGCCAAAAAGGATGATGAGGTGTTCCGCACAGCGGTTGGTGACCTCAACCAGAATGAAGAGATCTTACAGACTGAGAAAATCACATTTTCGGTGACATTTGTTGATGGCAACAACCCTTTTCAAGCGGTTCAAGAAGGTAAGGCACATCAGCAGTCCAGTTTTCATTTTATTTTTTGGTTCAATTCAGATGGCAACTAGAATTGTTTGCAAATCAACATGAACATCATTTTTGCATCTTTGTTGTATTGCTTTTCTTTGAGGGTGCTGTTTTGTAGATATCAATACTGAATTCCATTTCTGAAAGGACAGAGTATGGAAAATTATTCTTTTGATTGAGGTATATGTAAAAATGCATATAAATATTTACAGTAAAAGCTTTACTACATTTATGAGTGCAGTGTAAAGTAAACATTACTTGAAAGTATGGCTTTCTATGCAGAGTTTTAATTTTGGCTTTTTTTGAGATAGCTGCCACCTTGAGTGTTACAGCATGGAATGACATTTCAGGTGTATTCGTGACAAATGTATTGGTGGAAAGAAAACTAGCAGGCACTATATACAAATCAAAGACTTTGCATTAGGATCCTAACATATACACTTTTTACTCTCTATAGTGTGCTAAATATTAAAGCATTTGTTTCCATTCTTTGTGTACACTTAGGTGAATTAAAATTTTTCATAGGGACAAATAATACAAATACAAATTATTTTTATTATACTGGGATGATCATTTCTATGAATGAAGATTTTGATTGAAGGATCTAAGAGTAATAGAATTTTATTTTTGATGCTATTATTCTAATGGAATAGCCTCTTGATTGGCAAAGCACTCATTGTTCATGAGACTATTTGTTGCTGATCTAATATATTTTATTGTGATAATATATTTAGACTAAAGGTATCAATACAAAATTTGGTCAAATGAAACACCTGTTTCATTAAAAAACTTAAAGACGATTTGGCAGAAGTAAAGATGGACAAAATATTAAACGTGGTAGAGTTTGACAAGAAACTTTTTAAAGACAAATATTGAAGGGGTAAGGAAAATCAATACGAATATTTTCAAAAAAGTGTCCTTTTTCTCTAATGTTGCATCTAAATGTTTTCTCTAAAGTTGCAGGGAACTTTTATTGGACTATGCTTTTGATCAGTAGCATTGGCTTCTTTTGAAACTTGTTTGTGTTTACTTGTGTCAGTAAGAGATTAGGTAGAATGATTAGTGATCAAATGGACTTTTCTTATTAATTTGATGGAGTGAAAAAATATTATTTTAATAAAATGAACAGAAGTGTTTTAAGTAAAGATTCTTTTGCAAAGAATATGTGCTTATAATAATATGGAATTTTAATGTTTAGTAAGTAAATATCAATTTAAAAAGATTAATAAAAAACATCTAGTCATTTATATTTTAAACATTTATATTTTAAAATGAGAATTCTGGGAATTTGGGTCCTATAAAAATGGATGTGTTGATAAATTTTCTATTGAAACATTTAAAAACTAAGTTGATATTATAATTCATAAAGCAATAGGTAAAATAATAAAGTAGAGTTTGAGGAAAATCCAATAATGAAAAAAAGTATTATTCATTCAGTTAGTTTTAGTGACTGGAATGAAGGCAGATAAAAATGAGGACTGGTTACACATGAAGTTTTTAGAAGTTCATCAGGAAACAGATCTGAAATGCTCGGTTTATTTTAGTGTTAGAATTTCCCCCAACCGGCTACATTTAAGAGATGATCTTTATTTTTCAAATTTAATTTTTTTATTTACTTTACCTTTCCCCTATAAGCATTTAATGAGAGAAAGATTTAAAGATAAGCAGCCTATTAACACATAAACAGAATTACAGTATTGATGCCATTAACATGCTTCTTTGTAGCTCTGGAAAAATAAATTTTTGCATAACAATAATTATTTTAATAATAAATATTTAATACTTATTCTTACAGTGAGTTTCTAGAACAGAATGTCTTGGTTATAACATAGGATCAATATTTCTTTCTCTGGAGATCAATGATTATGTTGATTAACATTATCCTGTAACATTAATCTCAGCACTTTTAGATAAAAGAACAGTAGAAAAAAATGCCTGTTTTTTTGAAAAATAATCTGGAATCTAACAACCAATTTTAATAATTCTTTTTCCTTACTTTTGAATATATTTGTTGATAAGCTATTATTCATCTTTTGTCTATTGAATCATGGGATGTTTACTAGGGGCAAAGAATTTTTCACACCTTAACCTAGGATTATTTTCATAATTATTTTGGGTGGGGAGTTGGTAGGAAATTTTGGTAGCTGGGATAAAGCTTATTCTCTAAAGAAGATATAGAAATGAAAAAAAATCATATGGTATATTTTTGAAAACTTCAAAAATTATAGAGGTGGGAAATTATATAAACCTAGGTGAATGTTTTTCCTAAATATATGAAGTAAATGAGAGTAGTGTGTTTCAGTAATTCTCCTACATACTGCAAGTGTGTAGCAAGAGACTAAACCAAGACCATCCAACCACTAGTCATTTATTTTCCTTATTATATCTTTTAACCATAGGTACACGAGAGAGAGCACACAATACCTTCTAAGACTTCACTAAATACTGTGGAAAATAGAAAATTGTAGCAGATTTATATGTTTTGATAGGTACTATGGGTTTTAGATACCATGCAATAGTAAAAGATCTTCCAATCTAATTGAACAATACCGTTGATTATATATATCACTCTTGTTCTTTCATCTTTGGTCTTCCCATCTATAAATAATGAATAAATCAAACATAAATGATGTATTTTTAAGATTAGTTTCATCTCTATAGATGAAATGTTTCATGACTCTTTGGGACACATTTCCAGATTTAGAAATTTAGGATTCTAGAAATGATAATTATTTAGTCTCTCTTTAGAGACATTGCACATTGCTGAAATTGCCTCCTGGTTTTTCTATGGCTTACATCAAAATAAATTAAAAAAAAAATATATATATATATATGATACCTGTCCTTGGTTCTGCTATCTCAGCCAACTATGCACTGCCACCCAAGGAACTCATTACTATCACCAGAATCTAGAAATGGTCTTTTGCAGATTCAGTTGATCTGGATCACTACACCTGTTGCTAGATTACTTTCCTTGCTCCTTTCTTATAGATTGTTTCCTTTCTGTCATGTATAAACTGGATAAAACACAGATGCACAACTGTGTGATTAGAAAGACACTGCTTTTTTCTACTGAAAGCAATAGCAATTATTTGTATTGTTGGCTTCTAGTTGAGACCAACACTACTTTGCTCCAGGAAAGATGGGGACTTACAAGAAAACAAAGTCAAGGGAAAGTAAGGGGAATTCATTTGTAAACATATTCACATAGGAGGTTGAATGCAGACACAAAAATTTATGTATAATTCTTGCATCCATTGGATGTATCAGGAAGAACGTAAAGCACCAAGTGTTGATACTGAAAGTCAAGATTCAGTTAAAAACTTTTGAAATATTTGCTCTTATTAGAAAAACACCTAAAAGGGGCGCCTGGGTGGCTTAGTCGGTTAAGCGTCCGACTTTCACTTAGGTCATGATCTCACGGTTCGTGGGTTCGAGCCCCGCGTCGGGCTCTGTGCTGACTGCCAGCTCAGAGCCTGAAGCCTGTTTCAGTCTGTGACTCCCTCTCTCTCTGACCCTCCCCTGCTCACTCTGTCTCTCTCTCTCTCTCTCTCCTAGAAATAAATAAAAACATTAAAAAAAAAAAAAGAAAAACACCTAAAAATGAAATACATAGTGAGAAGAGTTTAAGGGCAGAATTATGCTGTAGAGTCACAAATGATTCTGTTTGAAAGAAAAGGAGGAACATATCATAATTATTCCTCCTTATGCTTTATTGCAAACCATTATAAATAATGTAGTTATAAAACTGTTTTTAATGTAAAAATCAGGAATGGTTAAGATTGCTCATCACCTGAGTCTCAGCCTGGCCCACCTTCCACTTACTCCTTTGTATACCCAACATGAATATTGATTGCTCCCAAAAAGTTTGTCGTAAAAAGTAGACATCTTATTTTAATATAGTGATGATTTCAGTTAGATATGTCTCATACATCTTCCAAAATAAAAATATTTTTAATTGTAAAACAATGTGGCTGCTTTTATACATAGTTTATACAATTAGACTTATTTCTTTTTTTTTTTAAATTAATGTTTTATTTATTTTTGAGAGAGAGACAGAGACAGCATGAGCAGGGGAGGGTCAGGGACAGAGGCAGACAAAGAATCTGAAGACAGGCTCCAGGCTCTGAGCTAGCTGTCAGCACAGAGCCTAATGCAGGGCTTGAACCCACGAACCGCGAGATCATAAACTGAGCCGAAGTTGGACGCTTAACTGACTGAGCCACACAGGTGCCCCTAGACTTATTTCCTAATAGTTATATATAAGAGACACATGGAACCATATCATGTGTGTAAAAGGGAAAACAGGAGAGCAGTATAGACAAAACAGTACAAGGAAATCTAACTAGGAAAATGCACTTCTCCAACATATTATCACCATTCACTGAATATTTCTGGTGCCATAGGCTAAATCTGAGTAGTCTTGCTCAAAGAGTATGTAAATGTAAAAGAATGATTTATGTAACCTCTCTATTTGATGCTTTATTCCAGGGCTTAGTCTCATAATTTATATTCCTCTCAGCATTAATAGGACATCTTTACTGTGATAAAAAATCTTCTAATTTGGAAATGTTTAGGTTGGATTCTGCAGTTTACTTAGCATAAGACTGCAGTGTGCATGTCTTGTCAGCCTGTGTTTTCTTGGACCAAGTTTGATAGCTTCAATTCCAGCTTATTTACTGAATTACATGACAATTAACTGAACTTCAGAATTGATAGATCCAGGGATCAAGAAATAAAAGCTGAACATCATGTGGGTATAATTCTGCTTGTTCAGTAATTTATTTATTCATTTTTCCATTGCTTCTTTTCCTACCCATATCAAGGCAAGTGTTGTGCTTTGAATCCCAGTCTCTAAGCTCAATGCTCAGTGTAACTGGTGCCCAGCCATTTGTGCAAAGAGTTGGAAGGACAAGGTGATGGAACTCACTGGCCATCTCCAAATAACCACACAGCAGGAGGGATATTGGATATCCATT